AGCCTGGTGGCTTTTGTGACGCAGCAAATGCCCTTTGACAAGGAACACAAGCTGCCTCGCCAGCTAATGATAAGTCAGTAGGCTTTTACTGGATGCAAGTCCTGCTTTCCTGTCTGAGGCTGTATCTCTCGGCATGAATCCTTTACACTTCACTTCACTCTACTCCCCTGTATTGGAGAGAACCACAACCACTATCACTTTCCTTGGGGAATCAAACAAAGGTTTTTCAGGGAATTAATACACATGATGTCATGGTTCCAGCTTGAGATTCAAGTTTGTGCTTTTTTTGTACATAACAACAGCATAAATGCGATTATGTTGGAGTTAAGTGAGAGTAATTTCTCCATATGGTGCTTCAGGTGGCATTTAAGCTATGTTTAAGATTTCGGCAGGCAAGTTAAAAAAATCTTGTCAGTCTGCAAACATTTTACCAGCCTCCACAATATTCATGTACAAAGATAATTTGCCATTTTAAATCCTCTTCAGAATAAATTGAGAATAAATAAAAATGAATGATGTATCAGAAAAAAAAGAGTCCCTTCAATGCAAAGAGGTATTATTCTGATGGATCAAGGAAGTATCTTCAATTTTTATTTAAGTTCTAATTTTTCCATGGCCCCATTTAGCTTTTGTCAGGCTGTGAACCCACATAAAGTGATTATAGCAGTACAAAGCATTATTTTTTATGTCTGAGATCCTTAGATGTGTTTCAGAGATCAGCATTTTGATCTCATTTTCGAGAATTTGGGAGATAATAAGTAGCTATTGATCCATAAAATAGCATCTCTATTGGGGTGAAGCAGCAGTAGCCAAGTTGCATTTATCTGGTGTTGAGAAGAAAAGCTGATTATCCAGCCGAGGGCAAATGAGGTGGAAACATCTTGGAGATTAGGTTTGTTCTGAGTGTCCCACATTTCAGAGGGATGTGATCATTGGTTTCATGTTTAATGTTTCCTATAGATAGTGTTTCTTTCCCATCAATAGTTTGTGTTTGGATTAGCATAAGTGTAAAATCTATTTTGGAAAATGTTGCATGTATAAATTTAACTTGGAACAAAATATGTGAACATTAGTTGTCTTATGTGTGGCAGGTACTTTGGGATGATCTTGTCATCCCTAGTCAGTGACAAATGGGGAAACAAGTCTAGATGGGTTAAAGTAATTTGTTCACATAGTTAGTGTAATGCAATGTTAAGCAATTTTTAAAAGTTTTTGTTGTCAGAGGTCATCCTTCTCTAGGAAAGATCAAATCCATTGTGTTAGTTAAGGAAGGAAAGGTTTATTTAGCTCACACTTTGTGGAGGTTTCAGTCTCTAATCAGCTGGCTCCAAGGCAGGGTGGCATGGCAGAGGGCAACAGTTCATGACAGTGGAAGACAGCAAAAGCAACAAGAGCAAAAAGGGGAGGAGCAAGCCTCTTTTCCTCTCTTATATTGTATACAAGCTACCCACCTTAGGGCAGGTGCAGCACTCACACCCCCAATTCCAGCACTAGGCAATGAACCAATCACAAAATCTAGATTCAGCTGCCTCTGAAAAGCCTGCCCCCCATGACCACATGAGGTTTTGGGGGGACATCTAGATACAACCCATAACATCCACTTCCCGGTGATGGCTTCATATTGCCCTTCCCTTCATGCCACCCAGTATTCACTGTCAATGCCTAATCACGCTGGCTGGTCTCTCTCACATATGTGTACCAATTCCAGAGTTCCCTTCTCTGACATGAGTTACTGGTAAAATAAAATCTTGCTCCTGACTGGTCACATAATGGGAAGATGGGACTCTGAGGCCACAGAGTCTGTCACTGTCACTTCTCATCCCTTTCTTCCCCTCCTGGATTTCCAATCCTTTCAAATAGAGCCACCAAAATGTTTGTGTTCTGTTCTTTTGTTTCCCTGGTTCTTTTTGGATTACTGCTTCTGATTTTCTAGGTCATACCTTCAAGTGACACATCTTTCTTAGGGAAGGATAGTGATTTAAGTATGCATAATAGGTGAGGTATTGCGGGAGAGGAAGATAAATTATAGACAGTTCTTGTTCCTGAGTTGCTTTGAATATGTAGGAGGAAGCAAATATGTCTGTGGTCCTCAACGCAGGATGGTGTTATAAGAGATAGATGAGTGCAGAACTGGAAATTAATTTAGACAGGAATGGCTTCATGGAAGAAGTGGCATTTGAGCTGGAGCTTAATGGTAGAAGGACTTATTTATCTTGTTCTTTAGAAGAAAGTATTTTGCTATTGAACTAAATGATATCCATGGTTTTCACTTACTGTAGAAGGTCCCTGTAGTAGGGCTTGGAAGTTTCAGTTATAATAATATAAGCTACATCTGAGTCCAATTCCTGGCTTTAAGCATCTCTGTCTCTACATAGGAATGGGATGGTTTAATCTTTTGAGAGCAGTTAAAGCATTAGTGATCTGTAGGCAGTGTCACATACAGATGAAGGTAATGACAGGGTATATGTGTATTTGTGCATCACAGATATTTTCCTGCCTTTCTCTCCCTTCTCTTTTTTGTTAAATGTGCAACCTCAAGTGGGTTATTTTCCTGTCTAATCTCAGTTGCTTCATCTGTGAATTGGGATAATACTTGCTCTGCTGGTTGGCTGTGAAGACCAGTAATTACGTTGGTAAAGCGACTCTTCAAGTGTAGTTTAGATCGTCTGTCTTCCATAGGCTTCACTGAAGTCAGGAAATGAGTTTTATTGAACTAGATATTCCCAGATTTTAGTACATTAAGCATTTAATAATTGTTTATTAAATGAAGAGCACATAAGGCTCTGTAATTGCCAATTGGTTAATTAGTACATACCTTTATATTGATCTACAGCCTTTGAACTTGTTTGTATTTTGTCTTTACTGATTAGCTCTTTGGGAAGACATTTTCCTCCATTCTCTTTAACTAAACTCCTTGCTGTAGTGTGGATATCAAGCATCCTCCAATGGCCCATATGTAGGAGTGGTCCCTAGCCTGTGGCACTGTTGGAAGGGGTAGAAACTGCAGTAAGTAGAGCCTAGTGAAAGGAAGTTAGGTCGTGGAGGGGTGCATTCAAAGGCTGTGATGGGAACCTGGACAGCTGCCATCCATTCAATTCCCAGCCACCATGAGCAGCCATCTCCACCACATGCTCCTACCATGCTGAGCAACCTTACCACAGGCCCAGATAACAGGACCAAGCAACCATAGATGGAAACATGTGCAGCCATGAGCCAAAATAAGCCTTTCCTCCCTTTAAGGTGATTTTCTCTGGCATTTTGTCACAGTAACAGAACTCTGACTAACACAGCACCCACAATCCCATCTCTCCACCAAACTTAGAACAAGTACAATATTTCTGGGCCTGACTAAAGGTCAGAATGGGATTTAGAAATCTCTTAAGAAAGCTGTTGAAACAATGCTAAAATAAGACTTAGGGTTATGATCACTCTTTCTCTTTCTAGAACTAAACTCTCATGACCATGATATTACTGTATTTTGTTGGCATACTTTAAGAGATTAAATACATACATTAAAATGTAGTTATGTCAAAACCCTGGAAAAATTTTCTTCTCAATTAATATTAAATTATGGCACCCATCTATAGGCAAAACAGATCTGCAGTGGCTCCTAACACATTTCAGAGGTGATGCTTCAGTCTTAAAAATGCTTCTGAGGCTGTAGTTTTAAAGTCAGTAATGTGGGGACTGGGTCTCTCTCTAGGACAGTTTTTTATGTGAGAAGAGAAAGCACCAATGAAAACATCGTTAATGCTTTTTTTCTCCTAATTTGTGATAGTGTTTTAACCAGAACCACTGGCTTATAAATCTAATCGTATTTATATGATCCAGAGACCTCTGGAAACCTCATGTACAAGTGGAGTTTACATGTAGTGCCTTTGAGAATTGAAGGAGATAATGTATATAAAGTTCCAATCAGCATTTAGCTAATAAGTAAGATTAGACTAGGTCAGAATTCTTACAAAGTATCATTTCTAGAAAATGCTGTGAGGAAAAAAAATCACTTGAAAATACCTCCATTTTTAGTATCATCTGAAACAATCTATTCAGAACAAAATTCTGATTTTAAGTACCAGATAGGTCATAGATTTTATATTTATGAGGGAGCAGATTAAAGGCAAATGCCCCTTCTTGCCTACCAAGTTAGAAAAGATCCCCAAATCCCATACCAAATCTCAATGTCATTAAACCCTTAAATCCTCTTACGAAAAAGGTTAATGATTACAGTTGTAATCATTAGTGGTTAGATCCTTATTTGGGTCAAAACCGTGTATCTGTGTATGAAGGTACATTCTGATTTACCAGCGCAGAAATAGTCGTAACAAGACCCTGAATTCTGTGGTTTAACATCCGGACTCAGTCTTTCCCACATCACCGATGCCTTTGATCATTTTCTGTGTAAACCGATTTAGCTTTTAATTAAAAGTAAACTAGTTCCCCCGTCACCCTGCAGTCCTGATTTAAGAACAGCAAGAAGCGGGCCTGAAAGGTGAGCGGGAAATTGGGGGTGGGGGCGTCCCAGAAGGGTTTACACGTGGATTGCATTTCTGGAGCTTTCCTCCTCGGTACCTTGAGCACCGTGCGCAGAACAGCAGGCTGCGGCCGCGGCTGCGGGGAGGAGGCCCCGGGAATCAGGGAGCCCGGCTCCGCTCCCTCCCCCTTGCTGGGAACCCGTGCAGCGCGTGCGCCCCGGAGGCGCTGCAAACGGGGATGATTGCAGCCCTCCACTTACAGCTAAACCTCGCCCGCCGCCACCACCACCTGCACCTCCGCAGCCAAATGCAGGCCGCGCCCAGTGACCGCTCCGCGCCGGGCCAGGCCCCGCGGCTCGGCTGGTGATTGGGAGCCGCGGCTTTTCGCCCCGCCTCACCGTTCGGCAGCCCGGGGAGCCGCTACAATTTTCCATTGGTCATCATCCCTGCCAATCGGTTCACAGCGCACCTCCCCCAAACAGCCCGTCGGGCCGGCGCGTGCTGGGGAGGCGGGGCCTCTGGCTGGGGGTGGGGCCTCTGGCTGGGGGTGGGGCCTCGGCGAAGGACTGCGCAGCGGCAGTTTTGGGCTTGGGCTAAGGCTCTGGACTGGAGCGCAGCATCCTCGCTACAGCTGCCTGGGCTGTTGCACCTGGTCAGGTAAACAGAGCCTTGTATTCCTCCTGGCTGTCTGCCCCACCTCTTCCAGACCAAAGGCTGCCTGCTCCGCCTCCCCCGGCTTCAGAGTTCTAGTCAAATCTCTTAAACCCTGCTGCTACCTTAGCTGCCCTCCCTTCTACGTCGGCTGCTCCAGCTCCGCCACCGAGCTGCTCCGAAGTGCGCTGGTGGCCCCCTGGGTCACCCCACTGCTCCCCACTACAGACCTCCTGTGGTTAACCCTCAGGTCCTGTCCCTCATGACCTATCAGCGCAGTCTCATCCCAGCCTGGCACAGGAAAGGTGGAAGGGACGGGGGAGGGAAGGATGCAGCGCTCTGTTTTGAAGCTGGAAGCCTTAGCTAGGACGGGAGCACTGCAGTGGGGTTGGATAGGGATGGAAGCGGCTGCAAGATGATTGTCAGAGACTAGAAGGGTGTCTGTTGCTGCTCTATACTTGTGTTATAGGTGACATTCACCAACACCGTCTGCTTTTCTGTCACCATTATCTTCATCATCCTCATCACCACGACCACCACCATCAACAGCATCTCTCTTCTTCCATCAGAGCTCTTCAAGTTCTGTAAAGGCAGACTGTGTTCAGGCATGTAAGTGTTGCCCCTCCCAACAAATAGCAAGCAATGCCCTTGTTTCCTGAGACCACAGCCAAGCCCAAAGGGGGAAGGGGTCGTATGGTGGCGGTGGTAGTGGAGTGGCCCATAATCCTCATTTGTAGTTGAGATTGCCTAAGGAACCCCTTGTTTTAATCACCCACATTTGCTGACTCCTAGAGTTTGACATTGGCACTCACAACCTCGGGATGGGCTGAATGTAGTCTGGGACCTGTGGTATAGACCCGTGCAATCAGTGTCTCAGTAATGGTGAGGTGAATGTTTAGACCCAATCCTTTATGAGAACCCTAATGGCTGCAGTTATACCTAAGCATGATCACTATCCATGTTTGCATGTATGTTGTGTGTCATCGTGTGGTGCCACCTTGGGGGATTCTTGGCTGTTGGAGGAGGGAATTCTATTGTTTTATCTACGTCAGGTAGCATCGTATAGTATGCCACTGAGATTCAACAGCCATTGCTTAGCTCTTTCCAGGGAATACTGCAAGAGCTCTTGGTTCTCAGACTTATTATCCCTCCTTCAGGGGGAAAAAAGTAAAGCTGAGAATTATGTGCCAGGTTAACTGCCACTGTGGAAAATGTTGCTTTACAAGTATTCTGTAAATTACAAGGCTCTTTGATCAGAGACATCTAAACATCAATTTCCTTTCTCTTAATGGTGTTGTAGATCTGTAGCAGTACCAACAAATACAAGAAGCAGTGGTCTCCCTGAAAGGAAACAATGGGTAACAGTTGAGAGGCAGTGTATCACAGTGGTTAAACTCAGACACAGGTTCAAATCCTGCACTAGCCACTTGCTACCAGAGTGATTTTGGCAAGTCACTTACCATCTTGATCTTTAGTATTCGGTCTGTAAAACAAGCATAATATTACCTGGCTCATAAGAAAAGTTATGAAGATTAAAGGAAATAATATGTAAAATGCTTAGTAATTCTTGGTAAATAATAGAGAAGTAGTGTTAACTGCCATTTATAATACTAGTCAACAAGTATAATAAAGGCTCTAAAAAGTGTGCATTCTTTCCCACTGATTTTGTCTGCCCTTTTTAGATCGCAGAACTAGTGCTAATGGGGGCTGGTAGTTTTCAGGTTCCTCCTGGGATTACATATTAGAAGGCTGTCACTGCTGTAGCCCTCTGTGTTTGGACTGACATTTCTCTCACCAGCCTGTGGAAATCCTTAGCAAGCTGTCAGCCAAGATGCAGTGAAGACAGCTTTAGAGAAGATTCCAGGGCCTGTCCTTGGCGGTTCCTTTCTCACTGACTATTCACTGCACTGACTTGATAAACTGTGCTTCTTACAGAATCATTAGTGAATACACTGGCTTCTGCCCAAGGGAAGCTAAACTGCTTTGCTTCGACTGTGCTGGGAACTGAAGAAACTAACTTGCCAGCATGGAATAACTTGTGTTTAACAAAATTTTTCTTCTCTAAGAATATTTCCTTGTTCATATTGAAAACAGAAAGCAATACAGAATAGCTGTGTGGTTCACTTCTCTTTTAGCAGTTCTACCTGCCTTGGAGGGAACTTTGAAATTTAGAGTATCTTCTCAGTTATATTAGTTAGAATCCCTTCCATTGTATAGTATAGAAATCCAGCAGAAAAAAAATCTTAAGCAAAAATGAGCATTATTTACAGGACTGAGTGTGTCTTGCTGAGGATGCTGGTCTACTCCCAGCTGGGTCCTAACGTTCTAACATTCAGAGGCTTTCGAGGTTGCTAGCTGCTCTCTGATTGTCTCTGGATATTCTATATTTTTTTGTCCATCTTTCAGTTCTGCTATTTCTTCTTTGTTTTTTTCCCAATACTAGGGATTGAACCCAGGGCATTCACACTGAGCTACATCTCCAGCCCTTTCTTTATTTTTTATTTTGAGACAGGTTCTCACTGCCTTGCTAAATTGCCCACGTTAGGGCCAAACTTGTGGTCCTCCTGCCTCTGCCTCCCCAGAGTGCTGTGATTACAGCTGTGTAACACATCACTCTGCTGATCCTTTCTTTTTTATTACAAACTGTCCCCTTAGTGCCCTCATAACCTCTAACTTCACATCTTTCTATCTCTGTAACTCAACAGGAGCTCTATCCTCCTCCAACTCAAAAGTGAAAATTCCCAGAGAAGATCTGTGATTGATGAGGCCTTGGTCATGGGTGTAATCTGTGTAGACTAAATGCTTTGGACAAGGAAATGGACTTCTGCAGGTCCTATGATTATCTGAGCGTAGGTTTCCTATCTTGCTCTTATTTTTTAGGCAGATGTGAAATTGGTGGAGCTGTCCCCCCAAAAGGGAATGGAAACAGGCTGTAATTTGATAAGAGGATAGTAAACAGCCTTGACAGCAGATTGAAAAATATTTTTATCTCATATTCCATGCCTCAGTGTGACTTTTATATTAAATCTCTGGACTTATACATATCATCCCAGGCTATGGTGTGTCTTAGATGATCTTACCTTTAACTTTTTAAATTAAAACTTTATGTAAGTGTGAAAATTTATGAGGGATCTTTAATAGCATGCACTGATTCCACTGTTGATAGTTTGATCATCTTTGAAGGTTACTCATAATCTCTTGTTGGGACCTGGTTTTAACAGCAGCCATTATTTTTAGATGTACATAGTCACTGCCTTAAAATCAGCTTAATTCTCAGCAGGCCCCAGCCTGTATGTTGACAATGCTACAGCCATTAATCTGATTTGCTTGATCTTGCAGAGATGTTAAACCACGGGAATTGTATTCCTGTGCAGCAGTGTGAGCATACACCAACAGGCTGGGCTTGTGAAGGAGCTGAAACATCCCAGTGTTAGTGTCTGTGCTAACATGCTGACAAAGCAGTCATCTGTGTGCCCTGTAAAATAATAATTATTGTAGTGGGAAGATGTAATGAAGGCTACAAAAGTCCTTACCTTGTCAACATGTAAAACAAAGGCCAGGCAATGGATCATTCCCTTTTAGGATTCTCAAGCTCTCTGGCTAAAAGTGAAAAATGTCCCACAGTAATCTGGATTTCTGGACATCTCTAGGCATTGAACATATGTTGCCTTAGTAAGGTGTGGAGGTAGGAGGAGGAAGAGTTTTTTCTTCACATGTCTTTACCCTACCACTTTCTTGAAATGACCAAGACCTTTGAAATTCTCTTTTGCAGGAAACTGGCTTCTGGCTCTTTGTTTTTTTCATACAGTGCATCTTTTATTTCCCTATCTTAGTCAAAACTGACTTGTTTTGTTTTCTGTGTCACTAGGACATGACTATTTTCTCCTTTCAAAAGTGTCACAGACTAATACCTTTCAAATTTAACACTTTTTACTTTGACCTTCCAACTGATGAGCTGTTAAGGAAATGTTGTGGAGGTAGACAGGACTTTTTAGCATTCATGTTGGCCATCAGTTTCTGGACATTAATTGAGAAGTAACAGACACAAGCAGAAGGCTGACTGGGGAGAAGAGATAAAAGCAGGACAGGAAACACAATTATGTTGCTACTTTCAGGCTCCTAATACTCATATCCCTGCCTTAGGATTTATACCTAAATAAGAGTGCTTTCGTGCCTGTTTTTGTGAGAGAAACCTAGAGAACACGTATGGTTGACACTTTAGTGCTCACTTGGGCCACACATATTCTAAAATTGGAACCAAAGGTGGATATTTTAAAAATCCATCAAAGAGAGCAGCACTGGTGTTAAACACACTGTTTGCCATGGTTGCATAACTTTTATCCACGTGAATATATATCCATGCTCATTCAATCTTAGATGCTTTCTCCAGGAATGTCCTCTATGAGACATGGAAAGAAAAAATACAGGTGTTCCAGAGAGGAGAACCTTACTTTTTATTAGGAGAAGCCCTCCTGGGCACTCATTCACTATACCAATTTGAGGAAACTGTAAGATTCCCCAAACCTTGATTTTCACTTGAATGAAGTTCAGGTGAATTTCTCTGAATGAGTGGCATCATCTGTGTGTGAGTGAGAACCCTCCTGTGCAGTGCACAGGTGATCATGGTACTGTCTCATGTGCCCCAAGAACTCCTCTTTGAGTCCCCAGAACTCTTACAAGGGTCTTTGTTTCTCTAAGTCCTCAAGAGCAGAATTTCTGTTCTTTGATGATATAAAGATGGTTGAGTTAGGATGGAGGAAATATTTTGGAATAATTGGTGTCTTAGTACTTAATGACATTCTCCGTGAGAACTATAACTTGGCAATATTCTCAGGTTCAAATGTATTGGGTCCTCAAGAGGCAGTGAATAAAATTCTTGTCACTGTTACAGGGTGTGTTGCTACTTTGATCTGAAAGCCCATGTGTGTGGTCTTAGCCCGGTGAATACTAATGAAGCTAATTTCTCACCACTACACTAGAGAGTCCACTTAATTTGTTGATGTTCTGTTATGAGAAAAATGTCTTCAAAGTCTATCTGAAGGGCAGGCAGTGAGAATGAATCCTATGTTCCCTCTGTGTCCATCTTGAGCTTACGGTAGCAGTAGGTAAATGGCACTATACCTCTTTTATAGATGAAGAAATTAACACTCAGAGAGAGTGATGTGTTTGCTTAAGGGTATATCTCTAAGTAGAAATTGGGTATTTATTTTACTTGCTGGGCTTACAATCTACTTTCTGTGTCCTAGTAAGTTACAGAGAACATTCCTGGCTTGAAAATTTTTTAAAACACTTAAAGTAGGATAAACCATAAATATAATACAGTATTCTGGGTATGTATCTAGTGAGAAACGAGAGGTGCTTTTTTAGGCATTAAAAATGGTCATCATTTCTCCTTTTAGATGAAGACAGGCACTGTAGAAAATTCTCTGAGCCTAGTTCATATTTGGAAAGCTTTGCAAATAATTTTTTTAAGCCTGCAAATCTGCAAAAAACAGTTCATTTACAGAATTGGCATCAGTTTTGTCCTCATTTGCCAGTGTCTTTGTCTCCTTTTATTTCTGTTTCTTTTCTAGCCTCCTCTACCTCCCACCCACAGGAACTTTTGAATC